GGTTATTTGGTGGGGGCGATGTAGGTTGTCTGTGTGTGTGTGTGTGTGTGCGTGTGGGAGAAGGAGGGAGTAGGTGGGTTTTACACATGTTACGGAGCGAGGCGCCATTGCGGCCTAAAAAACTATTAGGCTCTGTAAATACACACTGTGGCGAAAGTAAACATTCTCAGCATGCCATCTAGGCGCACAGAGGGGTACTGGGAGACAGCCGCCGGACAGACTGTGAGGGGGAGGTGTGTGTGTGTGTGTGTGTGTGTGTGTGTGTGTGTGTGTGTGTGTGTGTGTGTGTGTGTACAGCAGCAATCAGTGAGCTGTGAGGCGATGGATATGGAAAATATAGAAAACTCATAAGCGTGTGTATAATCGGGGGCGGCGCACTAATGATCACGTTGAGTTGCCAGGTAAACAACTTAGAGTTTACCTGCGTGTGTTGTTATGACGACCAGGGACCAATTAGACCCTCTGACCGTGTGGTGTTTGTGTCTGCCGTCCGATTCTGATGTCTGTCCCGAGATGCTACAGTACGTCTGTGTGTGTGTGTGTGTGTGTGTGTGTGTGTGTGTGTGATGTGCGTTTGTTCGTTGTACTCCGAGGGGCCGAGGGGTTCAACGGGCGTAAAACAGTCACAATTCTGTGTCCCGTTTGACCAGCCGGATCTCCAAAACCTGTTCGTAAAAATGTGCACGAAAATCTTGAACATACAAATTCGTAGTGATACATACGAAATAAATACGGACCGATGACGTCACCCTGTTCAAAGTGAACGGGGACCTGCGCCCCGTAAACACACTTCGTGAAGTCTAATGATGTAAAATAAATGTGTTATTATTGCATTTTTAACGAGAAATCAATGTTAACTTGTAAGAATAGAATACTAACCCTAACCCCCTCAAAAAATCCAACATGGCGGAGAGACGCTCACTCAAGGGGCGTGGTTAACCACCGCCAGTTCGTGTACATTGTTACAAACCGGTTTTGGAGATCACGTTGGTTTGACAGACGAGTCGTGCATCTGATTTTCACCTTTGGTGCAAAAGGGACCATTTTTCTGCATTTCGAGACGCACAACCGGCGACGGGAGGAAACGGGAGTAACCATGGAAACAGAGCTCAGAATATTCCCGGCCCTGCGAGTGCCACGTCGCCCGCAGCGCTATTTTTAGGCCTTACTTTGGGCTTACAATATCTGTTACATCTAACAAGAGTTAAACTGAGTAATCAGCGAGCACGACTACAGATATGTGACTCTGACACTATGCGTATGATTAAAAGGGTTGCAAGCGTAAGAGCACATGAGGCCGCCGGGCTCAAACTGCAGCCGTTCAACTGAGGAATGTTTGATGAGAGCTCCGAGGACACAAATAAATCCGATGTGATAGCATGAAATAACTTTATTTCTCATATGAATGTTTAAATTTGCGTTATCAAGATGTTAAGAGCACAAAATGGGGGGTTAATAAGAGCAACTGGGCTCAAGAGGATGATGATGGGCAGTGAACAAAAACAAATAACTGTCCGCACGGAGAAAGCCTGGGTATTGATGAGCCGGTGAACTTTGGCCTCTGGTCGGCCCTTTCAGCAGCGAGCCCCCGCTTGGCCACAAGCTGCTCCTCAAACCCTTCAGATTTGCAGCATACGGAAATCGTTGAGAAACTAATACAGCGCAGTGAGTGGTGAATGCACTCATGCCTCTCCCTGGCATTGCGTGCATATCCAGTGCACTGGCAGCCTTCTTAATTGTCAGAAGCGCCGCTCGCCGGCGATGACCGGGGGTTTGATTACAATCACCTGTTATTTGACCACAGTCACCTGTTATTTCTCAGCAAAGATGGCCACTGCGTTGATGTATCGGCATGTCAGGAGTTCAGTGGCCATCCCTGCCGACGGCAGGTCAGGTTTGTGAGCTCTTGCGGAGATTGATGGCCGACATCGGGAGCGTGCGGCTGATCTTGGACCGGTCGCAGAGGCCTGCGAGTGTATCAGGAGGTCCTTGAAGGAGTTCCAGTCTCAAACATCCACTAAGATTAAAACACACGCTTTTTCCCCCCCGCGCATAAATACAGTGTATTAACCAATCAGGGCCAAGCCGGGGGGTTCAGAGAGCGACCGATCAATTGGAGACCACCGGGGAGCCTGTAACGGATCTTTGGAAACACATGCACCGTCACTGCACGCACACGTCTGCAGCTTCTCTTCACCACACACGCGCACACTGCACTACACACTCTCTCAGATACGTCCCTTACGCATGGACAAATGCTAGTCGCCCACACACACACACACACACACACACACCTCCAGACACCACAAGCCTGGGTCGGTGGGTCCAACGGAATGCTGGGTATCATCTGCGGTGACTCTGCTTATGTCTGTGTGTGTGTGTGTGTCTGTGTGTCTCTGTGTGTGTGTGTGTGTGCTCCGTCTAATACCCTGTCATCATCAATAACCTCAGCAGTGCTGACTCACTGGCTTTTACAACCGTGGGGTTTGGGCCTTTCTTACAGCCACAGACCCTTGTCTCTGTCTGTCAGTCCGCTAAACAACACACGGCAGAAAAGTGTGTGTGTGTGTGTGTGTGTGTGTGTGTGTGTGTACCCGCTTACTTATTCCTAAGCGCAGATCAACAAAGGAACGGACGTGTATCTTTCGCCTGTTTCCTCGAATGAAAGTCAACGCAGAGCCTTTACCACCCACCCACTGACGGACCCCAATCAGGGCCCATCGGTTTCACCAGGAGGCCGAGCCTCATCATCTCCGCCACAACCCCCCCCCTCCCCCCCATCATCACCACCCTAATTGTCTCCAGGCCTTTATTAGGTCATCCTGACATCCTGCAAGTATGTGCTTCGGCCCGATGACGGATTAGATGTACGTAAACGGAGCTTCCAATAATTCCTAATTGTGTTTATTATTGCGGGGTCATTTTGGCCCAATTTGTCAGAGGTTCGTGCCGATGAATCAAGGGAGTGTGACAGTGACGCTGTCGCTGCCTCGGCGGTTTTTATGAGCCGTACGTTGATGACCAGAATGCTCTGATGTGTAATGTGACGGGGAGACACCCAGGAGGGACGTCCCCCAAAAGTCTGTCCGCAGCGGCGAGGATTGTGAATTTACATTGAATAAGTTGTGTGACCATTTTTGATTTATAGGTAGATTTTGTGAGTATAAGCTGAAGTCATTTTGCATAAAGGTGCTCATTTGAGTATTGGCATTTTCTCCAGAAGAGAACCAAAAGCTCCTTATTGAATCTACAGCCGTGTTTGGTCTCCATCCAGAAGGTTTGTGTATGTATGCCATTCATTTAGCGGGTGTGCAGCAGATTGGAAGCTGGATTTTGAGCACTGAGAATATTCTAGCGTTCCATCTGGCAAACGATCCCGATTGGACTGATTAATACCGTCAAAATACGGGTATTCATGGTGAATTTGAGCACTTTGTTGATGAATGATCGATTCATTACTGTGCCGAGGACCCCCTGGGCTCCGTTCAAGGACAACCCGGAGGTCCCCGCACCCCACTTTGAGAACCGCCGATCCGACTGGCTGGCGGGGTCTGTTTCTGAAAGGTGCGCACCTCACTGGCTGGAGCCAGGGCGGCGTATTGCCTTTCACACGCTTCTAAAATACTCTCCGGGCAGAGCCTGAAAGGGTTACTGTTTCCCAAAGTGCCTCATTCTGCGCAGTCGAGAGGGGGCGGCTGAGTGGCGCCGACGAGTCAGAGACGCACTTTCTAAAAAACCCCGAGACATCACCGAGAAAGAAGCTGACAGTGAGGAAAGCCGCCCCCCCCCCGCTCCTTCTCCTCTTCCTCCTCCGGCTCCTCCTCCTCCTCCGGTGGCACGCTGCCTACGGAATCCCTTCACTGGGTCTGTCACAATAATCGGGCAGCAAGTGTCAAATCAAACTCGCGGCCGCAGAAGAAAACACCCACGAATCCCTCTTAACGCGCACAAGATGCGCGCAGTGGAAACAATGGTACGCGCGCTGCTTTTAACTTTCCGACATTCCTCGTGTCTCTGTTTAAGACGTTGTATTTATAGAATAATACAACCCCCCCCCCCCCCCCCCCCCCCCCCCGATGCCCCCCATGCCCTACATACAGTAAATTACTCCTCGCTTTCATTTCATTGTAGACTTCCCCGCGCGTCTACAGTGCGTTTAATTGGCCGTATCTCTGCGGCTCGCAGACAGCGCGCAGCCCGCCTCTCCAATTAATAGTCTGCTAACGTCAAAAACAGTTGACCATTGTTTTATGGGCTTTGTGTTGTGTGTTCTTTTTTTTTTTTTTTTTTTCTTGTCTCCGGGGCGGTCAGACTTGAACAGGCGCCGGTCTGCTCCAGTCCACCTCTATACAAATACCTCAGTGGAACTTGTGCGCAGCTTCCAGAGCAGGAAAGCGCAGACCCGCAGACGCCGCCGCGGCGCGCGGGGCGCGCGGGGCGCTCGCCATGTCATCGTCTGACCGTGTTTGACAGGTCTGAGTCATATTCTGCCCATTGTGTTTAACACCTCGCAGCCCCCGGGAACGAGCACGTGCGCAGACCAGGGGGAGACGATGGCGCCCCCCCCTCCTCCCCCCCTCCTGGCCCGCGCTCCTTCTGGCTGAGACAAATGAATGGCAGTTCTTTGGAGGTGCTCGGGGTACGTGTTGTTGCGCGTTACGCAGCGCCGTAAATCGGCTCCTTTCTCGGCGTCGGAGGGACTTTACTTACTGTGCCGTTCGGAGGTCCAATCCGGCCGCTCGCGCTGCGAAAAAAAAAAAGTGTCCGTTCCAAGTCGAGAAACGCACGTTTCAAAGAATCAAACGACATCACTGCGACACTTATTTGGAACTCCGTTGCAAACGAGTGAAATGATTTAGGTCATCAGCAAACTTTTTTTTTTTCTTTTGCAGCGAAAGATTTTAAGACTGAATGAGACAACGGGGTCAGACGGTGTTTTTTCCCAGCGCACACGCCCCCTGCGTGGAGACACTCGTAAGCAGCATTGCTCGACACTAATACACGTTGACATGATAGACTTTATTGCTAAAACGTGTAAACATAACATGTACACTGATATGTTTTACTTTTGTATTGATTTTATTGATTTTTTTGTTTGTTTTTAGAAATATTCAAGTAGACATCTCCCATATTTTTCTGGTATACTCTGCTATTCTCTTTCCTTATGCTCTATACTCACAATCGTTAAAATAATAAATAAAACGTACAGATTGTTTTATTCCTACAATACTATGTATTCCAAAAAAAGCTGAGTTCACGCATTTATATATATTTTTAACCTCAACTTTTTTTTTTTACAATTTAATTATTATTGATATTAATATTATACAAAAACTCTAGGCAGCATTGCAGTGAAATAACAGTCAGCATCAATGTTCAGTTGAAGAAAAGTTCACCTCTTGGAGAAGTGTAGCATATGCATCGCATCTTCAATGTCTCATAAAAAATATCCCCCCCCCAAAAAAGCTCTTCCATATGAAGTGCTTGTGTTCCCCCCAAAAAACACGTTTCAGGGTTGAGAATAAAATATGGTCCTTGTTCAATTAGAAAAAATAGCTGCATTTTTCTTAAATATGTACAATGTTGGTATTTCACTTAAAATGCTATATAAAAAAATAGATTTGCTATGGTGCCCACCTCTGTAGAGAGTTAACAGTGCAATAGAAACCGTATTTCCAGTCCACTCCCCCTCGACCTCCACCACGTCCTTAGAGAAAATCAGCACGAACACTTGCACTCTGAGATGATTGGGTATTGCACCTGTATCCACGTACAGTATTTCTGTCTTAGAAACCCTTGACAATACCACCGGAGGATAATCTTGTGGATTGACTTGGCGGATTTGCAAGACATCCCCTCGGGGAAGGAGCACGAGCGCTCAGAGAAACAGTTTCCCTCCTTGATGTAACGTGGCCAGAACCTCACGCCCAGATCCTTCCAGGTGTGCACCACGGGGCAGTGCGTATAGGTCCACAGCCACTGCAGAAATTTCCTCCGCGCCTTCTTGCCCACTTTCACCCGCTTCCCGTAGGGGGTCTCTGTAAGGTCCAGCTTTTTAATCTCGTTCGGCATGGGCCCCTGCAGCTTCACCTGGTTGTCTGACGCGGAGTGGTTCGCCAGCATGGGCGAGGTGATCGACATGAAGTTGGGGTCAAAGTTACTGCCGAGCTTTTTCCTCAGAGTCCTCTCGGCCAAGTCCTGCTCCCTGGGGTCGTATTCCGGATCGGGGTCCTCCTTGAGGACCGGCACGGGGAGGTGATCGCTGGGCGATGGGCGGAGGTGGAGGTGATGCTGGGAAACTCCAAGGTGAACGCACACCAGCGCGTAGAAGAGTAGCGTTTGTGAGAGGCCCATTATTCCTCCTTGTTTTACGCACCGGTTTTTCTCGCGGTAGTAGTGCTCAATTCTCTTCCCGGTCACCGTGTTGTCTGCAGGAACTGGCCCGCAGCTTCATAAATGGTAGAAGTTCAGTCACCAGCGAGGCGGGTACTTTTAATAGACCGCGTCGGGTTTGAATGACACGCAGCGCAGCGGCGAGCGGTGCCCTGCAAAACAAACAAAAAAAGTGTCTGCGCGAGGAAATGAGCGCGGAACAAAATGGGGAGAAACTCTATCGACGCACTGTCCGGCCTCTGCCCGCTCCCAGGGATTCACTTTGGGTTTCTTTCGGTTGTCATGGTTACCCCGGGGACTCGAAGCCACGACGGACTGTCTTCGCTGGATGACAGCGGCCGAGGCGAGAGCTGCATGGAATGGAGCGTTTTCTAAAGACACAGAATAGATCCGCGGCGTCCCGAGCGAGCAGGGGCGCGCAAAAAGAGCACTTCGCCAAGTTCGAAATGTCACGCGCCCGGCAATGAGCGGCGCCTCGGCCGGCGGTATTATTACGCGCGGCTTCTATGAACGTGGCTTCGCTTTAACGTCGCCCGAAGCTCACGGCTTTGACAGGGTTTCCCGGGGCGCGGCATCCACGGACTGAAGGAAACGTTGTGTGCAGTCAGCCTCCCCCCCCCACCACCCCCTCCCGCCGGTGATATTCCAGCCGTCCGTCTACGTGAAAATGTCCAACGAACTTTGGAGAAGAGACGCGCCGCAGTGGGGACGCGAACTCGCGTCCAGTGAACGAAGGGCCACGCGGCGCCGCAGAGGATGTCCCGAACCGCAGTTCGCTTCCTCGCGTGCCGAGTCTCGAGCCGCAGTATTCCCGCAGACGCCTCGGCTCTGCGAGAGGAAGAAACAACAAAACAAAACAAAAAATAGTGAAAAAGGCTGAGTTTGTGGTGTCAGTGCTGACTGCACAAAGCCTGCAACACGTTGCAAGTTCAGAGTTCCTTTTCGCTGCGGGGGGGTCGGGGGGGTAGTGGGTGGGTGGGGGGGGATGCCTGAATTCTTCTCAGAGAGGCTCCGGGTATCCCACTGCCGCTGCGTGACAGGACATTCCAATAATTGTGCGTGGGAGCGCCTTTTTCGTCCGGGTCGAATTCCTGAGGGAAACGTCTCCGGCGCCTTTGATGGCCGCCACAAGAAGCTCCCGGCGAGTCGCTCTTACTTCAAGGGGTGCGAAGAGGCTTGGCGCTGCGGCGCGTCTTCGCTAAGCCACACTGCGCGCGAGTGCGTCTGTAGCGAAGCGCTGCTCGTCCCCAAGTAAAATATCCCCCCCCCCCCCCTCCCCCTCCGACGGCACCAAGTGTCAGAGGGGCCTGCCCACTCCGGCCACTTTCACTATGATTGACAGCCCCCCCCCCGCCCCCCTCCCCTCACAACGTGGAAAATATCAGCCGCGATCACAAGGATCAACTGGGTCCTAAAGCACCGGGTTTACCTCGTGCTGAAGTGTGATGTTCCACAACACGAAGGCTGTTGTCGTATCGCAGAACGTCTGAGATCTCTCACGCGCACTAATGGCTTCAATGCGCTGTCAATACACGGCGGAGGTGTTCCCGAGGCCCCCCCCGGGGCCCTGAACATTCCCGTGGAATTGATGGGAAACGTTTAGTCAGGAAAAGGAGCGTCACATTCCACCTTTGTTCGTCAGCATTTCGGGTCCACGCAGGAATTGGCCAGTTGAACTCAGGGGTCACAAAATAGGCGGCTAATTAAGGGCTATAAATGGCCGTGGATAAGTAAGCAGTTCCCATGCTACGCAGTCAGTGGGCCGCGCTGGACTTCAGTTTGAACTACGTTGGCCCTCTTCTAACACTGCGGAAAATATTTCAGGCAAGTTTCATTTATTGACTGTAAAGTCCATGTTAGATTTTTGTCTAGCCTTAATAATCCATAGCAAACTGATATTCAAATAAAATAATTTCCTGAATAATACATGCTTTTATTATCATTATTTGTTTATTAAAATCAGAGTTGGTGTTTCCCGATAGTTTGATCCTGACTGGATTATCCTGCAGTTTAACGCTGACCAGCTTTATTGGTCACCTCGACTCGTCTTTTGTGGCGGTCACTAGAGGGCGTCGATTCAGCGCGCTGTGGACCTGCAGCCGGGGGGAACACTCACTGTTTGACTGCTCACGTTGGAGTGCATGTGGAAGGAATGTGCACTCATCCATCGTTATGCTGCGAGCGCAGTAGAATTTCCTCGAAGATCAAAGATCTAAACAACCAAAGCGCGATCCCGAAGTGAATAAGGGTCCTTCTTGCTACGACTGTAACATGGCTAAGTCAGGATCATATACCAATCTCACGGTTGGCACCCGTCTTGTTGGCCCTGTCAGTGAATTGCCCCTGCTCCGTCCACCCTGCGTGCAGAGGCGCGGCCGTAATGCGGTTAATGATTAGGGTGCCGGTGGAGACGGCGCTCAGTGGGCAGCGTGGACAGCCAGGCTGAGCTGGTTACTGTAGAACCGGCAATTTCCATTGTCTCCCTCCACAGGTCTTGGCGTGCTGGACTGAGACAGGACCCCCCCCCCCACCCTCCCCTCCTCCCCCCTGCGGAGAGGGACACCTCCCTTCCTCCTCGGCTGAAGCACTAATACTGTCCAGCAGCCCAGCAATGGAGTCCACCCCCCCTCCCTGGCTAATTACCGGAGATAAAGACAAGGAGAGGATAGAGGAGGGGACCGGTCGGCACAGTGGCGGGGGGGGGGGGCGCCGCTGGTGGTGATGATGTTGAGTAAGTGGCGGTGGAGGCAAAGAGAAGAGGATGGGGGGTGAGGGGAAGTCGGTGGTGCCGGATGACAGTTTGCTGTGGAATGGCTAATTAAATGACGCCATAAAAGGACCCGGCTCGCTTTAACGAAGCCCGTCAACCTCTGACGAGTGGGGCCGGGGTGCTGTGATGGGGGCGGGACACACCATGGAGGAGAAAAGGGTGGGGCTGGTGCTGAAAACTGGCCTTGTATAACAAGGGGACTTAGTTCTTTGGTTTTGCAGTGATTGTTCACGCTCCCTTAGGTCTCAATAGGGCGCACGGTGAGGGTGCGTTGGGGGGCAGCCCTTAGGCACGGATAGGACCCCCTTCTCCTCTACTGCCGTGAATGCTACACACACATACACACCGACACGTAACACATACACAAACACATGCGCACACTATAACACCCCCACGGTTCCACACAAAGGCCTCTACCCAAGGTTCAGGCTTATCCAGGGCAGGGGCACAGCAAGGGGTGGGCCCGGCCAGACTGGCTGACTGTGCCCACTGGGGACTGGTAGAATGGCACATGGGGGGGTGGATGGAGACGGACAGCTTGGAGAGCAGAGACGGGAGAAAGCAAGAGGAGACTCAGAGACGAAAAAACCTCGGCAAGAAGAGGAAAATGGGAAATTCTTTTTTTGCATTTCTTATCCTGTGCTGGCAGCATTAAATGAGCTAATTGTAAGCTCATAAGTAAAGTTTAGGGATTTGGCAAGGTGGTGGGGCCATTTGGAGATATCTGCAAGTCCCCCCTGCTCCAAATGGACAGATATGTCTCCTAATTACTTTTGTGCTGTGGCGTCCTCAGAGTAAAACTCGCTGTGGGCTCTTTGGCAGGCTGATGGATTTCAGGCCCGTTCACAAGTTTTCTGAAATTGTTGTTGAAACACTTGAACCAAAAAATTCCAAGAGCCCTCAGATTGGAACCACAGCATATTTGTTTCTGGTGAAATCCAGTCCGTCAGCCCATTGAAATATCTTGTTGTAATAGCTGTGAAAACAATATCAACTTATTGTATCTTTGGAATGGCTGGATAGATACTTATTGTCTTGCATGCGGACACCCCATGCCTCAATAATTCGAAACAGACAAAATGCAAATAATAGGTTTTCACCACCGCCTGTCCATATTCTCTCTGTTCCCCCCGCTGCCCTCGCCATCTTCTCCAGCTTTACTCCCCTTTTCTCTCTCCTCCATATTTGACTCTGTCTCCAAGCCTTAACCCGAAGCAGATGGCTCGGGAAGCATGTCAAAAATCTGTCTCCCGTTAACGCTACTTTTGAAGCCCCCTCTACACTATTTTTTTCTCTCCCCTAAAATTCATCATAAAATATTTTTGCCAAATACCCAGTAAACAGCATCAAAGTGATATCCCCCCCCCGTCTCCTGAGAAGAAAAGAATACAGCACTTAGTAAATAGCTTGTTGCTGTTATTCAAAGAACGCCGCACCACTCTCATGTGCGATCTGAAGGCGATCTGAGCATCCTTTGTTTCTGCTGTGGCATTCCACTCGTCATGGAGAAAAAAAAAAAGCTCCTCGACGCTTGATCGCAAGCTGGGATCAATAGTGATTAGATCGCGGACCGACCCTTTGGCTTTGCGATTTGACGGCAACATGAACGTCTGCAGCAAACGGCGGTCCATCCTCCGTTGAGACGTTTGAGGGTTAGGCCTGATGCACTGCAAGAGCATTTTGGCCATCGGCAAGAATCGTAGGATCGTTCTCTGGGGGCCGTGAATGTCTGTATGAAAAGTCAATGGCGAGGCCATTTAGTAGATTTCAGGAGGAGGAAACCACCAATCGACAATTTTACCAACGGACAAACCAACATCCTCATGCTGCATGGATAATTAAAAACGTTGAAACAAATGGAATTACCCGTCACCTCCTCCTTGCAAATACATTCTGCACTGCAAATAAAAAAGTCCTACTCGTGCACCTCTTCAGGGTTATTGTGTTGGGCCTGTTGGGTTACGTGGCGTTAGCAACTGTTCCCTTCCGTAAGCCTTTGCCTCCTCTGTCTTCGTGAATTCTTCCCGTTCTTCCGTAGTGCCGCTCAGATACTTTTAATCGGGGAGGCCGGCGTGACGTCCAGAGCGATTACGCTTTGTGACAACTTGCAAAGTCTGAATCAAAAAGCGGAATCTCAAAAGCTTGGATCATCTTTTCCCTCTTCCCTTTGGTCCCATTTGTTCTAGTGGCCGATGTCTTTTCTGCTCCCTGCATCTCCTCCTCCTGCCCTCCCCCCCCCCACCCCCGGGACCGATGAGGAATTAAATTGATCACCGCCTTCCGGAAAACAACAGGAAAAAATAGTGCATTCCGAAGGCCAGGAGGGCGTTCCCCCTGGTCTTCCCTACGGCGGGATGACATCATTGGCCTGCCGCCCAATTCCCACTGTTCACAATAGGGTCACTGTTGCCTTCTCCACGGTGGCACAACGGCCGAGAGAGGAAGAGAGACGGAGGGAGCAGGACAGACAGAGACAGAGAGCGAGAGAGAGGAAAGGGGGGGGAATAAAAAGCCACGTTAAGACCTAAAGGCCTGCGCTTTATTCACCAGAACACACAAACGTCTTCAGACTGACCAGCGCTCCTCATTCCCTCCGGACCGATTTGGAGGGTTGAAGACATCGAGCGGCGTTTGAGTGAATGCCGCGGCAGATCTATGCGCAGTTTTATCTGGACAGTCGAGTCGCGTGTTCTCGCCGCTCGCGACTCCTCCAGATTGAGTCTGTCGCTCTGATCTGCTTTCTCGTCAGGGGGGAAATCGCTCCGCCGACCCCCGTCCATCTCACTCGCCGCGCTTGTTGTTGTGACGGCGCTTCCAGCGCCCGCGGCTTTGCGCGAGACGACAAATGGAAAAGTAACTACAATGGAATAAAGTCTTCAGACGAAACACAGTTTGGAATGAAAAGATTACAGCTCCGCTTTTGAAACACAAAATGTGTCAAAGACAAATTCACGACCCCTTTTTTTATATCCCTAACTACAGAGTGGTTTAATGAAATGTGACCGCCTGTCTTTCAGAAGCTTCGTCCAACTTAGGTAAACCCTGACCACAAGGGCTGGCAACTCGGTCATTCTCCCAACCACTAAGCCATTGTGGTGCCACAGGCCATCTTGTCGAAATGAAACCGTTTGCCCACAGCCACCGACCACAACAGATGTTCCACTCTGCTCGGCATGTGTGTTCTGTTGAGTCTAGAGCCAAGATGCTTTCATGGACTGG